GCAGTGACGTAACCACACTTGGATGATCCTTCCACTATCTAATGTGAAGCACTGTGTTATTCACTTCTTTCTACCAGAAAAACCCATCCTGTTGAGATTAGAAAAAAGGAATTAAGCTGCTAAGAACACTGAGTCCTGAGAGCAGGACGAGCTCTGGCAAGTTTGGTGCTTTTTGTTAAAAGAGTATGAGTGCCCCTCTCCACGATTACCCTGTGGCCAAGGCTAAATAACTCTTATCAATAGCAAAAAGAGAAAAAAACTCCAAGGCACTTAATAATATTAAAATGCATTTATTTTAACAGCATAGTCATGAAGACCTTAAAAGCAAACTTCGACACGTTTTGGCATTAGGCCTTCATCAGGAAGTAGATTAAACAGTGATAGAGGCTGAATGCCGAAACATTTTGGAGTTTGCTTTTAAGATCTACATGACTGTGCCATTAAAATAAAGACATTTTTATATTATTAAGAGAGGGCCTTGGATTTTTCTCGCTTTTTTTCGTCAATGACTTTATGAATCCCATTCCAACCTCAGACAAACTCTTTGTTGAGTCCAGGTAGCACTCCTTTACTTTTGTCTTTTGAACTCATATCAATAGTTCAAGTGTTCTCTTTCTGTAGTAGATGGTCATAAATTTTACTCAACAGTGGTGAAACATCAATTTTTAATATATCAGACTTTTTTTTTTAATCTAGAACATGCAATTTTTCAGCAAAATGATTCACTGCAGACCCAGTGTATTGTTTTAGCAGTGTTACATCTGTCCTGTTAAAATGTGGCCAGATTTGAGAACATCAAGGAGTTTTGGGGGAAAGATTCCCCTATAGACTCAAATTCACATCCACAACTTCTGTACTTAACGTTGTTTCACTATGAGTGAGCGAATAAGAAGGAGCTCCACTACATGTGAGAGGAGTAGAGGGGAAGGTTAAAAGTGGAAATGACAATCCAGGTGTAGTTTTAGATGAAAACCCCATTCAGGATGAAATTCAAAACATTAATCGCTTCAGCCAGTGCCCCCTGGTGACCCCCTGTGATAGGCCTGCCAAGGAGAAACTGCTAAAAAGATTAAACAAACCTTACACCTGATAGTTGTCTGCATTTAAAAAAACATCTTATGACACATAAATATAAAATAGTCTGCAAAAATGTGAATAAATCCTCTGAATACATTACCACAGGCCTTACCCAAAGACTTGTAAAGTCTCAAAATTCTTCTTGGACCATTTGGTGGCTAAAAACACAGTTCGTAGACCCACCTCCTTAAGTCCTTAAAGTCCCTTGGGAAGGTCCCTCCGGTGAAAATTTCACTACAGTATGCATTGAATGGTATATAACTGATACTGACTGAAGTTCTCTGAGTGGTACTGTGGTCAGTGCTGCAGCCTGAACAGCCTGAACACACAACTACCCAATGCAAAGTAAGAAGACATACCTCATAAGGTAAACAAACATCTCACAGGAAGAAAGGCTTTGGGTGTAAATTGCAATAAGAGAACAAATCAGATAAAAGTTAAATCCTTTTTTTCAGATAACCCCAAAGGACAGGTCTTCCTTACAATGTGACATTCACTTAAGGTTGACAGAAGGCATTAGGTTTATCTTCCCTTAAATACAAATGCGGTAATCCAGCTGCAGCTATTGATGCTATTATGATTGAAGATGAAGGATCAAATGCCACAGAACCTGTCCCATGAATATATGACCTCAATTTAGTTTGTCCCAGCTGTGCCTTCTGACCCCAAACCATAATCCCCCATCCCTGTGGATTATTAATGTAATCTTCAGAGCAAACACTGAGCGTAAATGAAACGCTTAGGTATTCATCTGGGCAGTATTGAAACAAGCGCTTATTGAATGACCTTATCCAAACACCATTCGCGCAGAAACAAAATTTCACCTTGCTCTGGGTGTTGCAGGGAAAACTGAAGGTATTTCATCACACAAACACACCCACTCACACACACACAGGGTTTGAAAGTCACTCAGAGAGTGAAATCAAATGGTTTTGTGTGCTGTTGTTCCGAGCTCTCTCAGGACATCATTGCAGGCCTGTAGAGGTCTGATTCTGTGCCTTTTTATATTTGATCATCTAACTTGTTTTTGTCAGAGTGAGGACGAAAACAAGTCCATTTTCCACTCACTCAGTCCTGATATTCTGCTGGCTTGCTCCACTGTTAACATCTATTTCATCCACAGACAGGCAAGCATCCAAATCATGGCAAGCAACTTGTATACTTTCATAACATTAAAAAGTTTCACTCACAGCATATGGCTCAGGTCTTGTATGTGTCACAGGCGTAAATTGGCAAACATGGTAGATTATCGAAAAACACTTTCAGTTTCAATCAAATAGAACTGGTGCTGAATTCCCCCTCTGCTTCCTTTGTCTTTTATACCTGTGGAAACATTTGGCTTGCTGGTCGTCTCCCTCTGGGATCTCCTTGCCAAGATGAATCCGGGAGGACGCTGAATTAAACGGACAGTGAGGGTGTTCAAGGTGGGGACTGGTAAAGGAAGAGGACCAGTCTCCTGGGGGCTTTTTTCTAAACAGACTAAGCCCACAGGGACCAGTCTATGCCCAGGTGGTTCCGACAGGTGTCAACCAATGGCTCTGTTAAGTTAAAAAAAATAAAACACTGAGCACAGCTGTGGGGGAGCACACAGAGCCTCTGTATGCAGGGAGCATCAGATTTGAATCTGATAGTGTTAATAAATTATTTGCTCAGCCTGCGTGGGACATGTTTATATTCATCAGCATGAATTCAGCTGGTTAAACAGTTACAGTGCTGTATTTCTATCACCTCTTTTATAAACAACTCCTGAGCCTGTTGTTCAGTTTGCTCTGCTGCTCACATGTTTCTGGCTGTCAAGTGCATCAAAGTGAGTATAATGTATTTAATTTAAAGACTGTTTTGAAGACAATTTAGATTGTTTCATTTGATTAATTTTGTGTTTGAGGACATTGTTTAAACCTGTCAAATTCTGATTACCAAGTTAAAATTAAAGAGCATTACTTTGTTGTCTAAAGATAACCAATTAATAAATTATTTTTATATCTTTCCTTTTTTGTTAAATACAGAAAACGCCACTTGACAGCTTGTAAATAAATCCTTTAAATTGGAAACTCGTCTTAGGTTGCTTGATTCCTCAACATCCATTGATGTTAATTAATTCCAGCCCTTTCATTTAAAACACAGGTAAATGAACTAAATGTTAAAAATATGACAGTCGGCTCCTTGAAAATAAGTGATAAAACCCCAATACAGAGTTATAGAAAAATCTACAGTTTGATCAAGAAATGTACAAAATAAAATGTGCAAACAAAGATGTCTTCAAACAGCTTTACACAGGGGTAACAACACTGTCCCATTTTGAACACCTGAATTTCTTGTGAGCCATGTAAACAAACAGAAAGAGGGACCATGTTGCCCTTGGTGTAAAGAGCACTGGCTGTAACTTTTTAGCACTGATACTAAGTTTTTACTGATTCTATTTAAGGTACAAAACATCCACCCGCTGGCTATAATGCTGACCTTTTACTCTTTATGAGCCGACTCGCCGCTGAAGATCCCTGGCGAGGCCTTTGCAGCTGCTCAATAGTCCACATGCTAGAGAAAAGGTGACTGTGTCGTCTTAATGAAAGCACCTGTTCTGTGAAACTGACCATGAGGAAACTGGGTCAGCAAAATCCCTTCCAACTTCTAAATCCCATAATTACTTTGTGGACAGGGGAGAGTGGGGTAAGATGAGCTATTTTTTATATTTTGATCTCTACATCAAGGCAATCATAGTTTTGTCTCTAACCTGTGTATCTGCATGTGCATCCCTGCAGACCAACAGAATGAGTGTAAACATAACTGTCTTGATAATATAGCATGCCAAAAAAAGTGGTCTCCTATGGTCAACTAACCTCGTGTATGGGGTAAGTACAACAAAGGAGTATCCCTACTTCGGCTCAACTTACCCCACTCTCCCCGACCTGTTTCCATCTTTTCTGGCCTGATTTTGTTGTACCTGTCTCATTTACATAAAATCTCTTGTTGAATCAGTCTTTATTTATTCCAAACATGTGGTGATTGCAACATTTTGGTTTTTATTATAGTGATTTCGTGGACTGTTTTTTTCTTGTAGAGTTGTTTTGTCTTCAGCTCACAGACATTGGGCATTTCCCCCCCTGCACTGGCTCTCTCTGCACCTCCACACCTAATCACCACAATCATCAGCAGCTCTTAGGCTCCGCTCAAACGCCTCTCCTGTGCCAGATTATTCTTACTTCACATGTGATACATCGGCTGACTCCGCTGGAGTTTTTTTGTGCTTTTGCTACTTGTTTAGCATTGCTAAATTTGTGTGCTTTCCCGGTAACTCCCTGGTGTTTATCTCCCTTTTCCAGAGCTCCCTAATCAAATAATTCACTGTTTTTGCTTTATCTGCCTCCGGTTCTGCTTCTGGGTTCAAACTAAAACACCTGATGTCATTCCAAAGTAAAATAAAAAAGTGCTGTACATGAACAAAAAATGATCAAATCAAACAAAATAGGATAACCTTGTCTACATGCAAATAAAAGACTCAAAAACAGGTGCTAACAAACTGAGGAAATGCTTCATCATAACAAGAAATATTATGCTCCCTCCCAAGATTTCCTTGTACCAAGTGATTTGAATGAATGAATAAATCACTAGAAAAGCACTCACAGAGCGCAGACCTCCGCCAGGCAGCTCATGTCCCCCCTTATATTGTGATTCGCACCAAAACTTTTACTGTTACGTGTCTTTTATGAACTTTTAAACTGGTATGTTCACTGTTCATAATGTTCCTAAAACAAGAAATGCCCTGACCCGGATTTGAACCCAGGACTGTGAGGCAACAATGCTAACCGCTACACCACTGTGCCACCCATCTACACCACTCTGCCGCCCATTGGTTATCTTCAGCATTGAAAATTCCAACGACACTCTTATTTTTGTGTGTTCTGGATCACAGTATCCAGAATTTTGTCTGGATCAGGATCAACCTTTGACACCTCATAAAACTCATTGAGATGCTTTTGTGTAATTTTTTACTAAAGACTCTGGCCATTTTTATAGAGTTAAATGCAAAAATTCCAAAATTTGCCCTATCTCACAATGATAAAGAATCCTTCAAAAAATTCCTGGATCCAGAAGGCGATCCAGATCACCACCAAAATGTAATGGGATCCTCCTGGGGCTGAGACGCACCTCTGGTGAAAGTTTCAGGTCAATCCGTCTGTTACTTTCTCCGTAAAGTTGCTAACAGACAAACCAACCAACAAACAAACAAACAAACCAACGCTACTGAAAACATAACCTCCTTGGCGGAGGTAATAACTATGGTTCAGAAAAGTAATACAGCAAAAATCTGATCTGGGATCAGATCATCTGATCCCAGTATCACTACTTTTGTCAAGATTTCCTTCCTTTTTCTGCTCCAACATACCTTTGTCCTTCGTCTACCATTACCAGACAGCGCAGCAGCTCCCAGGCTTTGATGAGAGGTCTGAGCTCCAATGTTACCAGGATTAAGAGGGTTTTGCCTCCTGTACCCTCCAGATCGGTCTTACCCTCTGCTGTGCATTAGCTTCCCTCTCTAACAGGTGTGAAGGGACATATCTGTCTCCCCCGCTGTGCCCTCCTAAGTTTCCTTTCAAGGAAATATCATTCCTCCTTCTCTACAGATGAGTAAACAGGGAAATAGGTGATATGGAAAGGAGAGGCAGAGGAATGAAGAGAAATGGAGAGTTGAGATGAAGACAGATAAAGTGAGGAGGGTATGGATTGGGGGAAACAATGTGATACTAGGAGGAAGGGGAAGATATTTTTTCTCATTTTCTTTGAATGGTTTATGAATTAGCTCAACATTCCTCTGTTTAAAGCAAGTCAGATAATCTACCTGTTGCTGTTCATAAAAAAAGAAAAACAGTGAATTAATTTGTCTCTATTCAATGCCAAAGTTTTGGTGCTTTATTATGGCCAGGTATTAAGATTGTTCCCCATGTGGTTGAATTTCAAAGCTGCAGAGAAGAGTTTCTGGCGGCTTATAATAAACTAAAAACAAAAGCAAAAATTACTAAAAGTGGTAAGATGGATTTAATATGGTGTATTTTTAATGCCTGAAACTGCTACCATAGGGTGGAAGGCAGATGAAGTAATGGCCCGTTTGTATTTTTTTATAGCACAGAAATACTGAGTTATTTGTAAGACTGTAAAAAATGGCAGAGGGGAGATTTCTCTCCAAAAATACTGCCTATAAATACTAATGTCAGAACAAATGACTGTGCAGTATTTTTGCTGAAAGCCATGAATAGGACCAACCTGGGACCAGACGTCCTAGTAGTATCTGCAATGCTGTGAATAAAAACGCATTCCCCCCCCCGAGATAAAGTATTCTGATTCTGAATATTGGAGTATTGGGGTCATCTGACAGAGAAAAAGACATGGGATTGGGAAATCAATGTTATATATAATAATAGGGGGAAAGGTGTGAGTTTAAAGGGGAAGATTGTAATTACACCCAGCCTCTTGAGCTAACATGACAAAATTGGAGCATCCTGTAAAGTTAAAGGATTTCATGAAAAACAGAGAGCCAAATCTATTAGTACATCAGCACAGCATTGTCATAAGAATCAGAATTTTGAGTTCATTGTGTAGGAAATAGAGTCTGTTATGAAGAGGAACAGCTTGTGAAGGCCTCTGCACCTGCTGCTCATCCTGAGCTGTGGAGTTTGATTTTACAAGGTCATCCTTAGCTTTCAGGGATTAACCAGAGCTTGTAATATTACAACTTTATCATTGTTCATTTACAGCATTACTTGTAAGAATTCATGACTCACACCTCTTTATGTTATGTGCAGGTTTATTTGGGGGAATTTATAAGTTTAATCTCTACACCCCTCAGGGGTGCAGCTATTTTTACCAGTGTATTCAGTCAGTTTTCATTGAATTCACTTATTTTCTTTCGCTCCTCTCTCTTTCTCTTCTTTTCTCTCCCTGCCTTCTTCTCGTTTTCCCCCCTCATCTGTTCCTGCCTCTACCTTGCTCTCACTCTGTGCTGGAATCAAACCCAGAACCATTTCATTGGCAGTTAGCAGTCTTAACCATTTCACCACAGGACTGCCTGATACAGTCTTCTTTTCTGGACTTTTCATTTCACCATCGGATTTTGCATCTTAAAAAGTACAACTCAAACAATATTTGAGGAAGGGATTTGTTCTGTGCCTCACATTGACAGCCCTGAAATTGAAGCCAAGCTCCATCATTGAAAGACAGGGACCTAAACCCTGCATTGGATTCCTTTTTTTAAAACTATTTTTCATTTCATCATCGTGTAGTGGAAAGGGCAGATTAGAATTTCTTGGTTTTGCTGCAACAACACAACCTGGGGGAAATCCATCCCCAGCAATTCTTAAACACTGAATTTAAAGTTAGATACATTTAACCAAGGTCAAAAAGCTTTGTCTTACCCGTACGCAAAGATGGTTTCAGCTTCAAAAGAAAAGGTCATTTCTATTTAACGAATAATAAAACCACCATATTATTTTAATAATTAACAAAAGTGGATAATTTCCTCAAAACAACCCAGATCTTAATCGAATTAAAACATTTAATCTAAAATATTAAAACAAGTGCATCAAAAGAATATCTTAAAATTAGCTCATGGCAGGGAGAAAATTGGGAAAAATATCATCACCAGGGTAGCCAGACTGCTACAATGGATCCTCAGCACCTAAACACAGGGGAGAAGACTTAAAAAAAACAATAGATATTACTCAACGTTCAAATGACGCATACAAATGAAAAGAAGTAAAAACCAAATGAGAAAATAAACACGATAACAAACCAAGAAACACTGAAAAAGAATATAAAGGAAAGTGTAAGGATTAAATCAAGTGGAAATATTTAAAATAGCAGCATTATGGTGTAGAACTAAATTAGAGGCCCATTTCCCTAAATGAACTTCTGCACACAGAGAGTCAGCTGACGCAAATAGGGGCTAACACACACCTGTATGTAACCACAGGGTGCCGCCAAGGACAGTGGCAGGGAGGGACCATCAAACCAGAGGTTGTCCTGGCAGAGCTTGCATTTGTAGCTCCTTATTTCCTCTTCTTTTCAACTGTTGGAGTTCAAAACTGCAATGAAAACCACAGCTCAAACTACACGTAAACAAAACGATTGTTGGCTGGCTGACATAAAGTATCTGCTGTCCTCTCGATTCTCTTGTCCTGGACTCAAAATCAGAACCCAGCCTTGGACACTACACTACAGGTTTGCCAGACAGTGCTTGCTTTTAAAGGTCCTTATTACCTTTATTCTTTGACCATGGAAGTTTAAACAAGCAATTCAAAGCACAGCTCAAAGTACATGTTTAGAAAGTAGTTGTTCCAGACTGACATGAGGAGCCCTGATCTTGGATTTGAACCCAGGACCCTTTCATGGTGAGGCAGTAGACTTCACCACTACAAGGTCTGCCTGACAGTGCTTGTTTTTATAGATGCTTTTTATTTTTATTTCCTAATTGCAAATGGTTATCATTGCAGGTTAGCATGGATGTGAAATCAGTTTTCTCTTCTATGTTCACCAGATGTGCCTCTGCTCTGGTCTTGAACCCAGGATCCTTTCATCAAAAGGTAACAGCCTTCACCATTGTACCACAGGTAAGCCTTATCCCTTTTTTAAAGGTCTTGTGCTTTCATCTTTCATTAAGTAGCTTAAAATGTAATGTGAGAACAGCAATTATGCTGTCCTCAATTTGAACCCAGAATCCTTTGGGGCAGCAACCTTCATTGTTAAACTACAACATGTCTGACAGACTTCACCAAGTCATTGTTGCCTCGACTTTTATTCTGTATTCACACTTGGAAAAACCAATGCTTGCAAGGCTAACCTGTACTGCTGTGGTGAAGGCTGCTGCCTCTCCATGAGAGGATTCTTGGTTAACATGCAGGATAGATGAACTTAACATCAGCCAGGAACAATCCAGGTTCAAATCCAAGCCAGGAACAAATGCCATTTAAGCTGTGCGTTGAATTGCTGTTTTGAACTTCCACAGAATAAAAGTCTCCAGACCTGAATCCTGAATTAGGGTGGGAACAGATGTTTCACAGAACACCTCTTGTGTTTTGTTTTCAGCAGAATCCACACTTGCCTAGTTGCACATACACACCCTGGGAGTACTTGGTAACCTGTTGTCTATTTTGCTTTAGTAAGTGTCCTCATCAAATATGTTTTATCTTGTAGTCAGCCACAATTCAGAATCAGGTCCACAGAAATGAACATGTTCCTGTATTAACCAGGAGTGAATTACTAAATGGTTAATAATGAAATACTCAAACTCCAAAGCATGAAATTTGCCTCATACAGGCTGCTTTTGACAATCTTAGGAGACAGCAAGGCGTGATTACATCTGTTTGAAGTCTGTCTAACATACTAGTGGTTCTGCATGGTAACAGGGGATACATTAGCAGGATTTACCTGAGCATTACTTTGACTCTATTGTACATTATATTAGTTCAACCTGACTACTCCACCACAAAGTCAATGTTCGAGAGAAACAGCCACAGAGGAGAGACCTCCAGCTTTATCCATGTTTATCACCTGTTGATTAAATGTGCCAACCCTGGCTTTTATGATCACACATAACGTCAAGAAGAAAAGTAGGAAATATTCCTTGTTTAATGGCTTGAAACAAGCTCATCATTGGCACTGTGGTAATGCATGAAAGTTTTATTACAAGTCTGGTGTACTTGTCATAGATATGCTCTTTGAGGTGACAGCAGGGAGCACTTAAAGTGTGGCTGTTTGGTTAGAGAGGGAGAGATGGATATAGAGAGAGAAGGTGAGATCGACATAGAGAGCCCCCATTGGCATTACTTTCCTCTAATCCTCTTTGCGCTACACCTGGCAAGCATACTAATGATGGAGAAATGACCCAGATTTCTTTCTGCGCACATTCATACTCAGCACACAGAACATAATGAATGAGTCAGTTGAATACTGCTGTTTTTGTATTTTTTCGTGTTGAATCAGAGAGATAGGCCAAGGATAAATAATGACTGTCACACTACAATAGTCATTTCAGTCTCAGCTTGATCATCCACAGTGGCTTTATGATGAAAACATAAAACCTCGTCTTTGGGAAAGAGGCCAGACTGTTGTCAACAAAAATCACATTTAATCATATACTGTTCACGTCCTTGTGACAGCACCATCAGATCAAACGCAGAAACTCTAAAAGTGATGATGCCGCCAGACTAGTCCACATTGTCACAGCCAACATTACACCCGATGTGCAACATTAGAGCTATTTTTACCGGAGCTGTTTCAAGATACTTCTCCTGTTCAGAGGCAGCTTACTACAACCATTCACATGAACACATACCGTCAGTCCCATAGCTTCAGATCTGGGCAACGGTCAAAGTGGACATGCAAGTCTGTTTGGGTTGTTGAAACTGTTTCAAAACACAAACAGAGAGGGCAATGTAAAATTATGTGTAACATTGCAACAGCTGTAATAATGCAATGCACGATGCTGTGTGAGATCAGCCCATCTCTGGGGACGCAGAATTTTCAAATCTGTCTAATTCTGTTAGAAACTAACGGCTGCAGGTGACAGTGAGACTGTCTCTATAGTGTTTGAGTCGAGAATACAGAAGGGGCTGTTCCAGAAATGGTTGACTTTCAGAATTTTAACAAACCATTCACACATTCATGTATAAAGTTTTGAAGTTGTTCTACACATCACAGAAAAGCTAGATGGGGTGTATGTTTAAGGGATACCTGATAATCATGCAGAGCTCAAAGTCATCCCAGAGAGACAAGACGAGAAGCGACTGCAGCAGGGGAAATATCTCTGAAACCTGATGTTATATCCTGTAATTATTGATTTTACTTGCTGAAAGCCAACCTTTTATTTGATAGAAAGTTTTGAGAAAATCCAATGATGAGCCTCAGCATTGTCGAAACAGAGTAAACAACTGTTTTAGGAAAAAAAAAATATATTCAAAATAAAAATTCCAGTTGTAGCAGGATATTCTCATTGTAAATTTTAACTGCAGTCAAGCCAGCTGCTCCATAATTTTTTGTGTTTAACTCAGGCACTCTCAAATTTTAAGTGTGCATGTACTGGGATAATTACAAAGCAAACTCAGCAAGGCTCACCTGTTAATGAAGGCCACTGCCTCTTAATGAAAGGATCCTGGGTTCAAGACCTGAACAGAGGTGTTTCATGGTGCTTCTTGTACGTCAACAAATAAACAATTACACTAATATCTATGTGCATGATCAGAAAAGAGCATATCCATGACAAGTAGACCAGACTTGTAATAAACTTTCATGCATTACCTGCATTACCACAGTGCCAATGATGAGCTTGTTTCAAGCCATTAAACTAGAAAAGCACTCGGAGAGCGCAGACCTCCGCCAAGCAGCTCATGTCCCCCCTTAAACAAGAAATGCCCTGACCAGGATTCAAATCCAGGACCTTCTGGTTGTGAGGCAACAGTGCTAACCACTACACCACTGTGCCACCTTTCTACACCACTTTGCCGCCCATTCCTTATCTTTCAGCATTGAAAATTCCAAGGACACCCTTTTTGTGTGTTCTGGATCACAGTATCCACAATTTTGTCCAGATCACCACCAAAATTTAATGGGATCCTCCTGGGGCTGAGACGCACCTCTGGTGAAAATTTCAGGTCAATCCGTCTGTTACTTTCTCCGTAAAGTTGCTAACAGACAAACAAACAAACCAACGCTACCGAAAACATAACCTCCTTGGCGGAGGTAACAAGGAATGTTTCCTACTTTTCTTCTTGACGTGATGTGTGATCATAAAAGCCAGGGTTGGCACATTTAATCAACAGGTGATAAACATGGATAAAGCTGGAGGTCTCTCCTCTGTGGCTGTTTCTCTCGCACATTGACTTTGTGGTGGAGTAGTCAGATTGAACTAATATAATGTACAATAGAGTCAAAGTAATGCTCAGGTAAATCCTGCTAATGTATCCCCTGTTACCATGCAGAACCACTTGTATGTTAGACAGACTTCAAACAGATGTAATCACGCCTTGCTGTCTCCTAAGATTGTCAAAAGCAGCCTGTATGAGGCAAATTTCATGCTTTGGAGTTTGAGTATTTCATTATTAACCATTTAGTAATTCACTCCTGGTTAATACAGGAACATGCTTATTTCTGTGGACCTGATTCTGAATTGTGGCTGACTACAAGATAAAACATATTTGATGAGGACACTTACTAAAGCAAAATAGACAACAGGTTACCAAGTACTCCCAGGGTGTGTATGTGCAACTAGGCAAGTGTGGATTCTGCTGAAAACAAGGCAGTGAAAAATAAGCTGTTTTAACAACACAAGAGGTGTTCTGTGAAACATCTGTTCCCACCCTAATTCAGGATTCAGGTCTGGAGATTCTCATAGCAATCTCTGATCAGCCAGGAACTCCAGTCAAAGCCTGTAAAATTTGATATTAATTTTATAGCAATAATCTGAGGAAATAAATAGATAACAAAAATCCCTCTTCATCTGCAAAAACAACGACAATAAAATAAAATAATAATAAAAAATCAAGTTTCTAGTTTGTGCTAATTATGAGTACTGTACAAAACAAACAAACAAAAAAACTTAACCTTTAATTTAATTGTTTGAAATACTCAAGTACATATAAGTTTGTACAAAATTAGAGCTTTAATTATTTTATCAGTGTGAGAGCTGATGTAAAGTGCTTTGAGTGGTCAGAAGAGAAAGTACCATATAAACATCGTCCATTTAAAATTAGCTCATCAATTTCATCTTAAAGACCACTCAGGTTGGTACAGTCTACAACAGAACAAACTCGTGTAATGTTCTGAAGCAGACACTCATGGCTATGAAAAGCTCAGTGACTCATATGTTGGTGTTTGATATTTTTTTCTCTACTCCCAGGCCTCCTCTTCTACCTGCAGCTAAATCAGTTCAGAGCGTTGTATGAGCCTGGATCTGTCAATAGAGCTGTCAGTCATGATGTCGGATCCTGTCTCTTTTATGTTGAACACTCAATTAAAACATAACTCTTAAAATTAACACCTGCACATAACCCACTGAGCATTTTTTGGTCTAAAAGAGGTCTAATAGACGTCTAAATGTAGCCTAGATGCCGGAACTAAAATCAGGCAACCACAGGTCTAAAAATGAAAGTTTTTTAGACCTGAAATTGGAGCCATATCTATACTACACTGTATATTGCTCAATAGCTATCATAATTGTTTTGGTTAAGTACTTGGAGATCACTTATACAACTCACAGTTGCTTTTTGAAATAAATAGTTATTGAATAATGGGTTAAAGTGCAATGTCTAAATTCCGTCTAAAATTATACAGAATCTAGACGGTTGAAATTAGGTCTAAAAAGAAACTAGAGGTCTAATAGCCGTCTATTGCTCAGTGGGAAACCACCGTGGAAATGACTGTCATGACAGAAACCATGTTTGAGAGAGAATAATTTGACACATGTTGATCCATGCTCTGTTTGGTCCAATGTAGGTCGCAGGCTCTAAAGGCTACATGCAGCCATTCACCGGGGAAAGCTATTAATGGCAACAGTGGCACATTAATGGTACAAATGGCACAAATGACTAAAATTTGACCAAAACTTAGAAGCATTTTAGTCAAAGACTGAGACTAAATCCAGTCTTAGCCAAAACTAACACTGTGGCAAACAAATGATGAGAAGTATTATCTCTTGTAAAAGTTTATAATAATAATAATGATAATTATTATTATTATTATTGTTATTATTATTATTATTATCATTATTATTATTAGTAGTAGTAGCAGTAGTAGTATCAATATTATTAGTATTATTGTTGTTGTTGTTGTTTTACAAAGGGCAGTACCCTTGAAAAAGAAAACTTTGGTGGGTTATATGAAACTCACATTCATGTTTTTCATCGTGCAAGAAAATCATTTGGTTCATGATGTCTTGTTTTAAACAATATTGGTAAACTAATGCCGAACTCTAAGCCTTGTAAGTGCTTTCCTTTGGAAGTCATTTCAATTGAAAGGGAGAGTTGACAAATCACATCATCCTGAAAAGAACTGAAGAGTTAAGTACACATAATTTCTCAGAGCAACACAGACTAATGTGCCCTTTACTGGTTTTATTTACTGTTGCATATTTCATTAGCAAGGATTTACTAAAACATATTCACTGATACAGATTTTTCATGAACATTGGAGCTAAAACCTGCAAAGACTTCTCCATCCCTGCTTGCTCTTTGGACATCATTAATGTGAATTGGTATAAGACAGCCTCACAGTTGGGCGCAGAAAGTATCTGACCTGTGGGAACTGTAACTATGATGAATTGGTCCAGCTAAAATCTTATTTTCCCCAAGACAAGACTCAGCAGGTTAAACATAGTGCTCCAGCCTTGGCTCACCCCTTAAAAAGACACCAAGAAAACAGAGGAGAGGAGCAGAGTCTGAATTTAGAACATCATAGGAGGTGGACTGGAAACAGCTGAACCAGAACTCAGGTTCTAGGAGTCTGAAATCTGCAAAAAAAGAGGGTTTCTGCAACAGGTGAGTTTGGTTTGTCAAAAGGCAAAAGAGCGCACATGAACAATCTTTTTGTAATTGAAAGAAAGGGATTAAGGACAATGAACCAAGAAGTCTAGAGGAAAATAGATGTAATGTGTTTAAGCTGCAATGAAACAGCAACCTGTTCTGCGCTGCAGCTTTAAGTCACTTTCTACCCTTATAGACTGTCGAGTAAAATAATCTGAGTTTACTGCAGCTTCTAAAAAAACAACTTCCTTCAGAATCAAAGCTCACAGGAGTAATTAGCTGACTATAATCCTGACATGTATTTGCTCCCAGAATAACGAATTTACACTCTCCATTGAGAATCTAATCTGGTGATTTGATTGTTCTTGTGGCTTTTAACATCACATTTACACAGGATAACCAGGAAGCTGCTGTTGCTGGAACTAAACGTACATGTATATTTGTGCTGGTTCACTAATTAAACATTATCATGGGTCTTGAGATTCATGCAACGCTTTATGAGTATTGCAATAGCACACGTAGGCGGGTGAGTGACATTTCTAATTAGAGAAATAACAGATTAAGTTTGAGACTTGGTCTTAATTTCTTCTAAACAGTTGTGATGAGTGTAATCCTCTGCCTCAGTGGTATTATGTATAGGTACATGTGCTGGAAGATTCATACATATGCACTCATGAACACATGCTTGGTGAAAGAAATTCATGCTGGGTGTGTGCAAGAAATCTAAATTTAAAGTATGTGAGACAGAGCACAGTTCACCAGTGGTACAGACAGTGCTTTATCTTACACTGCAGGTGAGTGGATTACCTTTTTAATTGGATTCGTGCATGAGCATGGCACAGGCAAAGGTCTACTGTTGTCACTGTTGAAATGGAGAATGATGAAGCGAGGAAGCAGGGGATGAGTAGAGGAAAGTGGGTTTCAATCACTTTTGGTGCGTGCCACTGGGAAGGCAAACCCAATTACCACATCGACAAAGAAAAGACTCATGCTCAACCCTTGTGCACACATAGAAATACCTTCACTTACATGCATGTGGTGGTAAACCAACACAAGCATTCATCTGCTCTGAGAAGCCTCTACAATTCGTGTTCACTTCAGGGTATTAACTGTATGATTTTAGAGAGGGAGGTTGTCCTTAGTCCCTCTGGTTTTACAAGCCGCAAGACATCAAGACTAAAAGCTGTTTCCCACATCAAGTCCCTGTAGAGTTCAGAGTCAAATGAGAATTGTCTGCCACCTCTGAATCAACCCACTTAACATCTCTTTCTGTGTATGTTGCAGCCAAACATCAATATCACGGCAGCAGAGCTCATCCAGGCCACTGGGGGCAGACAGGAGCAGGTGGAAGATCAGATGAAGCAGATGCGCGACACTAAGAGTCTTCTTCACTAACTCCTCCACTTTCACCTTCACCTCCTCCTTGAGTTCTGCAAAGCTGAGATAAGTCCCTCGGGGCTTATCAGGGACCATGAAAGGTTAAAATGACTGAAAACAATCATCTTTTCCCCATCTGTTGTGCTCTCGTGTGCAGCCTTTTTAATTATGACACACAGTGAGAAAGCCCCTCTGTTCCAGTTATCCCCAAAATGAGTGTTAACAAATTTGTTAATTTAGTGACTGCAAGTAGCTTTTCTTTCCTATCCCACCATGCAGAACATTGTCTTTTTGGATGATTATATTTATTATACTTATGTACTGTATATGTATATAAATTATATCATACGATGAATTTAATTCTTAGAAAGTTTTACTCTATTTTTCTAAGGAAGGAGAGTATTGGACATGACAACTTAGAATATGATAGAGAATGGTAGTAGATAACATGCAAAAACAGATGCAGACCAATTGATCGTGATGATATTGTACAATTTGACATGATATAACTTGTGACACAAGAATACATGACAGGATACTAAACAAAAAGATACAGTACAAAGAAACATACTGTATCACACAGAGATACATTACAAAACGATAAAATACAATACAGCACAACGCAAAACAAGACAATACCATACAGTAGGGTATGATACAAAGACAACACAACACTACATAGCATACACAACAAATAATCTTGTATCATTTTGTATCATGTCCAGTCAAATCATATCATGTCATATTAAATAGTAAAATATTGTATCATGTCACGCTGAATTCATGTCATATCATATCATGTTGTGCCATGTTGTGTTGTATCATTGTATCATATCATTTATCATTGTGTTTT